AATATATAAATTCGAAAAAGCAAACCTTGATTTTCCCACTGTATATGAGACACATTTTACTATGGCATTATATTTAATGGGACTTGAACATCCTTGGAATTTGGTATCCATAGGGTTTAGAAATATTATTTATTTATTTATTTATTTATTGTTTGTGAAGGGATTACTAAGGGGTCATTCACACTGTTTTGAACCGGTTTGCAAACATACATCATCAATATGACAAAGTTACAAATTATTTAATTGACTTTTTTAAAAAAGCTATCAGTTGGGGTGGGAGTTAACGAGTTAGGGGTCACTTTTTCCTCTTTTATCAGAAATAAAACCACATCAGACTTTGCCCCTAAGTTGGTGCAAACAAAGCACTTGTACACATACTGAGACACTGAGCCCTCTCTGTCAGGCAGCTCTGGGTGCCACAATCAACTAACATTCCCAGGATTCCTGAGCAGTTAAAGTGGTCTCAAGATGGATTATTTATGCAGTGTGTTTTGGACTCATGGAATTGCTAGCTTTCCTTTCTCCCAAAATAGGATTCTAGGCAGACCCCAGCCTTCTTGCAGGAAGTGTGGGGAGAGAAGGGGGAGAGGGAAAGAGGGAGAGTTGTGGATATTTTTAAAATTCCTTTTTCTTTTTAAGAACTGCTTTCTTCCTCCTTCCTATCCCCAGGCAGGAAAACAGGAGGGCCATAGGTTTTTCTTCTTCTTTTTTTTTAAAAGGTTTTTCTTCTTTTATCTTTTAAAAACTGCCTTCTCTCTCCTTCCTTCCCTCAGGCAGAAGGGACAGCAGCACTGCGGTTCTCTCCATTTCCTCTTAGCCCTTTGAAACCTGGTGGGCTCCCTGGGTGCTACATCTCCTTCAGGGGATGCATAGTTTTCCCTAAAGGGAAGGAAGATATAAGGGGATTAGATTATATCCCAAATTTAAATCCTATGAAGGTTTCTTGCCTGAGAGTGTGACTTTCCTGAAGGTGAGGCTTTCTTGGCAATGTTTCTTCAGAGGGGCTTGCCATCGCCATCCCCTGAGGGTGACGGGGAAGATTTGCCCAAACAGTGTGACATAGGTGCACATCATTTGATTGACAGTTTAAAAAAACCCTGAGAATGATTGAAATGGCAGCTCCATTTTAAATTGATTAAAATGGCAATGTGAACTCCAACAGGGTTAAATTGCCATGGAGAGATTTGAAACTATAGTGAGAACTTTAATTCGGTATTGCATCATTGAATCTCCCCAGATCTACTCAGCACAAAAAAAAGGAGTGTGAATGCTTTTATTCAGGCATGATTAGTAGAATGTTCTCTTTTTGTTCTCCTTTATCTCAAGGAGGTTGGCAAATTTGGATTGCAAATCCCATCAGCCTCAGTTAACATAGCCAGTGATGAGCAATGGTGGAAGATGAAAACTAACTACAAAGTCAAGAGGGCTATAATTTGTGCCCCTTTGTTTATTCCATGAAAACTTCTGGAATCTTTTATTCACATTAAAACTCAGTTTATCTTTCTTTCTCATAAATAGGACTATATTTATTTTCCTTCTTTATCTTTGAATTGGTTCCCTCTCCTTTGTGATATTCATTTTAAAATCCTCCTCCTTACTTTTATTTCCCTGAACTTCCTTCTGCTTATCTTACAATTTTAATTGCTCTTTATAAGTCTTCTAAAGCTTTACATTCCTCTGGTCTAACAAAGAGACTGATGCTAAAAGATAGCATCTGTTGTCTCCAGCCACTGTCCTTTTTCCTCCACAGCACTTTTTATTTAGAAGCTGTTGCCTCCAAATGATCATATGATCCCATTCCTCTCCCTCTTCAAGAAACACCTCAAGATTTTATTGTCACTTGCCTTTGACTGTTAACTTTGAAATGGCCTCTGGACAAAAAGAGACTGTTAACTTTGAAATGACCTCTGGACACAAAGTTGGTTGTATGAGAGAACATCTGAGATGTTCCCAGATGTGGCAATTGTGGCATTTTCCTACCCAAATGGATAAGAAAGAAGAGGTATATAGTTTCATGATTGCTGATACAGGCCCAGGTGATCTCTGATGTGTGAAGTTATGAGCTTTGGTTGGTAGGCCAACTACTTCCCCTTCCTGGATAGCGAACATTTACCTATTGTTGTTTGCTCCCTGATGATCTTGGGTCTAGTATACTATAATGCACTCTGTGTGGGAGTATCCTAATGCTAGGTCCAGAAGCTGTAGCTGGTGCAGAATACAGTGGCCAGGATAACTGAGTTGGCCACCTGGACATGCACTGTTCCATTTGCACTGCATCCTGCACATTTATCACCTACCAGCCACCCAGAAGAAGGCCTTCCCTTTAGTGGCCATTCCACCATTTGGAATGTTCTCTCCACTGAAATCTGGGAGATGCCATCTGTGCCTGTTATCATTTTCATTCAGATCTTCTCTCTGTGTTTGTGCTGCCTACTCTCTGAATTGTAATTTTTATTTTGAATGATAAACATCTGTACAGTCCTCCTACCCCATATGTGGGCTTGCCATAAACGGACTTGAGGTCACACAGATGGCAAGCCTGGGGGAACAAAATGATGCACATGCCTGTGGTGCACGTGCAGCACCACACATGGAAGCACACCACTATTTAAACCAACAGGACTTGAGGTCCTGCAGTTTTTTTCCATATATGGGGGGGAGGTCTGGAATGGATCCCCCATGTATACAAAGGGCCCACTGTACATCTTATTATGGTGCTTTGTACTTTTTAATGTCTGCTTCAGATGCCTGAACTTTCTACTTTATGTTTTGAATTTTGGATCATAAACTGCAATTGCAAAATTTCTGGATGTAGTAAGCAGTCTAGGCATTGACTAAATGAATAAATAATTAAATTTTAACTTATAGAGCATCCCAAATGGGGCATAGTGGATGATACGTTGATACACAACAGCAGGAACCAGATTCCAGTCAGTTTACAAGCAGCCAAGGAGGCTCAGGGACCATTTTACTTATTATTATTATTATTATTATTATTATTATTATTATTATTATTATTATTATTATTATTATTATTATTATTATTTTATTTCTACCTCACCCCTCTGTCAAACAATTGGGGCGGCTTACAACAATTAAAATTACATACTTATTTCAAAATACACACTAGAATCCCAAAACTCACCCGCCCCTTAAAAAGGTATTAAATCAAAAATACATTAAAACAGCATAAATAAAACATCAACATTAAAAAACAGACTGGCAGCAATAACAGGAGAGGTAAATTAAAAAGGCTCCTGAGGCTAGGAATTCTAGTCAGGAAAGGCCTGCCAAGAGAGATCCATTTTCACAGCCTTTTTCAAGCTGCTTAAGCATGTAATCTGACGGATGTCGTCCGGCAGGCCGTTCTATGGTCTGGGAGCGGTTACAGAAAAGGCCCTCTGTGAGGTTGCAGACAGCTTAGTTCTCATTGGCTGTAGCAAATTCCTCCCAGAGGAGTGGAGTGTGCGGGGAGGATTGTATGGGAGGAGGTGGTCCTGAAGATAGGTTGGACCCAAGCCATTTAGGGCTTTAAAGATCATAACCAACACCTTATACTGGGCCTGGAAACTAATAGGCAGCCAGTGAAGAGACTTCAATACCAGTGTTATGTGGTCTCTCCTAGATGTCCCCAAGACCACTCTGGCTGCCATATTCTGTACCAACTGAAGTTTCTGGACCAAGCACGAGGGTAGCCTCATGTAGAGCGTGTTACAGGAGTCCAGACGAGAGGTTACCGGCACGTGCACCACAGTCTCATGATCCCTTACTTCCATGAAAGAGTGCAGCTGGCATATCAGCTGAAGCTAATAACAGGCAGTCCTGACTATCGCATTTACCTGATTAGTCATCAGGAGTGACGAATCTAGGAGCACCCCCAGACTGTGAACACAGTCCTTCACGGAGAGTGTGACCCCATCCAGGACTGGAGGTTGCAACCCAATTCCTGGTTTCAGGGCCACTACTGTGAGCACCTCCATTTTGTCTGGATTCAACTTCAATCTGTTTTTCCTCTTTGCCTTGGTTTCCTCTCCTTTGAGAAAAGAGACGCCATCAGAAACTGAGGCTGACGATCTAGACATGTAGAAATAGATCTGGGAGTCATCAGTGTACTGATAACACCCAGCTCCTTGTCTCTGAATAATCTCTCCCAGAGGCTTCATATAGATGTTAAACAACATCAGGGACAGAATGGCACCTTGAAGAATGCCACAAGTGAGGTCTTTTTTTCCTGAACAACTGTCCCCGAGCAGCGTCCTCTGGGATTTGCTTGAGAGGAAGGAGCGGAACCACTACAATGCAGTGCCTTTGATTCCCAGCCCCCTCAGGCGGTCCAGGAGGATGCTGAGATCTATCGTATCAAAAGCCACTGAGAGGTCTAAAAGCATCAACAGGGCAACACTACCCCTGTCAATGCTCAGATGAAGGTCATCAGTCAAGGCAACCATGGTGGTCTCAACTCCAAATCCCATCCTAAAGCCCGTTTGAAATGGATCTAGATAATTGGTTTCATCCAAGACAGCTTGGAGTTGAAGAGCAACCGCCCTCTCAATCACCTTGTTCAGAAAAGGTAACATGGTTAATATTGCAGTTTTATTCTTATTAACCTTCAGTCTTGATATCTCAGCAAAAGACTCTAACTCTTTAATGGCCATCTCAATCTTATCAGGGTTAGTTATAGTCAGAACTAAGTCATTTGCGTATGCCTGTAATTTTGTCTGTTTCCCTTTTATTTTAACACCTTCTATATCTATGTTCTGTCAGATATTGTGATTCAGAATTTCTAATACAATCAAGAATAGCAAAGGAGACA